CACCGTCCAGTGTGTGCACCATCCAGTGTGTGCACCATCCAGTGTGTGCACCATCCAGTGTGTGCACCATCCAGTGTGTGCACCATCTAGTGTGTGCACCATCCAGTGTGTGTACCATTCAGTGTGTGCCCGTCCAGTGTGTGCCACATGTCCAGTGTGTGCACCATCCAGTGTGTGCACCATCCAGTGTGTGCACCATCCAGTTGTGCACCGTCCAGTGTGTGCCTGTCCAGTGTGTGCCCGTCCAGTGTGTGCCCATCTAGTGTGTGCACCATCCAGTGTGTGTACCATCCAGTGTGTACCACCATCCAGTGTGTGCACCATCCAGTGTGTGCCACCATCCAGTGTGTGCACCATCCAGTGTGTGCCACCATCCAGTGTGTGCACCATCCAGTGTGTGCATCATCCAGTGTGTGCCATGTGTCCAGTGTGTGCCTGTCCAGTGTGTGTCCATCCAGTGTATGCTACGTGTCCAGTGTGTGCACCATCCAGTGTGTGCACTGTCCAGTGTGTGCACCGTCCAGTGTGTGCCACCGTCCAGTGTGTGCCCATCCAGTGTGTGTCCACCCAGTGTGTGCACCATCCAGTGTGTGCCACATGTCCAGTGTGTGCACCATACAGTGTGTGTCCATCCAGTGTGTGCACCATCCAGTGTGTGCACCATCAAGTGTGTGTCCATCAGTGTGTGCACCATCCAGTGTGTGCACCATCCTGTGTGTGCATCATCCAGTGTGTGTACCATCCAGTGTGTGCCACCATCCTGTGTGTGCACCATCCAGTGTGTGTACCATCCAGTGTGTGCATCATCCAGTGTGTGCCACGTGTCCAGTGTGTGCCTGTCCAGTGTGTGTCCATCCAGTGTGTGCCACGTGTCCAGTGTGTGCACCATCCAGTGTGTGCACTGTCCAGTGTGTGTACCGTCCAGTGTGTGCCACCGTACAGTGTGTGCCCATCCAGTGTGTGTCCATCCAGTGTGTGCACCATCCAGTGTGTGCCACATGTCCAGTGTGTGCACCATACAGTGTGTGCCCATCAGTGTGTGCACCATCCAGTGTGTGCCACATGTCCAGTGTGTGCACCATCCAGTGTGTGTACCATCCAGTGTGTGCCCGTCCAGTGTGTGCCACATGTCCAGTGTGTGCCACATGTCCAGTGTGTGCACCATCCAGTATGTGCCCATCAGTGTGTGCACCATCCAGTGTGTGCACCATCCAGTGTGTGTACCATCCAGTGTGTGCCACCATCCTGTGTGTGCACTGTCCAGTGTGTGCACCATCCAGTGTGTGCACCATCCAGTGTGTGCCACATGTCCAGTGTGTGCCACCATCCAGTGTGTACCACATGTCCAGTGTGTGCACCATCCAGTGTGTGCACCGTCCAGCACCTGCAGTTCCCCCCTGAATTGGTGTGGTTGCCCTAGTAATGCTCCTCCCAGTGGTGATTGACACTGCTGAACAATGGCACCACATCTGTTAGCTTTCTGTTTGTTGTCCTCATTCCTATGTTACTTTTGTATTTTACTCTTTCCCACTGTTTACAGTTGGGCTTATTTATTTACTTATATGTGTATTTACTTATTTAGAGACAAAGTCTGGCTCTGTGTCCCAGGCTAGCCTCAAACTTGCAGATGTCCTTCTGAATGCTGGGGTTATAGCTGTATGCCACCGTGCCTGGTTATTTCATGCCTTATCTTATTGTACTCTATTTTAATTTTTATTCATTCAATTTGTGTGCGCACATACGTGCATGTGGGTACCCAAGAGGCCAGGCGGGGGTGTTGAATCCCGTGGATCTGGAGCCCACGCTGCAGGAGCAGCAAACACTCTCAACGACCAAGTCATTGGTCGCCCCAGCCCCACACTCCCAGCTTTTCCGCGGGTGCTGGGGATCTGAACTCAGGTCCTCTGCGTGCAAGTACATGCTTGCACAGCCAGTACTTCCACCACCAAGACATTTCCTCCTCCCTGCCCTAATTCATTGTTTTTAACTAGCAGTTTTAATTAGTATCTAATCATTTAGCCAGTTTGGCCTCAGATTTACTGTGTAGGCCTGGCTGGCCTTGGATTTGTGGTAATCCTACTTTCTCAGCCTCTTGAGAAGTGCGGTGTGAGTGTGCGTGTGTCTTATGGTCATGTTTGGGTGTGTACACATGGACATGTGATGTGTGTGGGGCCATGTCTTCCCTGCTGCTTTGAACTTCATCTTTTGGGACAGGTTGTCTTACAGAGCACACTGTTTGTCTAGACTGGCTGCCCAGCAGCCTTCAGGGATCCACTGTCTCCTCCGTCGCACTGGACTTAGCCATATGCTTAGCCGTACTGGGGATCTGAACTCAGCTCCTCAAGCTTGTGCCGCAGACAGGTTATCCTTTTTATTTTAATTGGACATTTTATATGGCTCTACCTTAGCTCCTTATTTGGCATATCAGTTATGATTTTTAAAAAATCGATTTTAGTGCTTGCCTGCAATTTACAGTCTACATTTGCAACTAATCAAGCCACCTTTGAATGACATCATGACACCTCACCCGTGAGCACCTCGTAACAACCCTCCTTCCTCCTGCCTGCTCGGTATCATTGCTTTGCCATCACTGATTTCCTGATGTATGAGCCTACATAGGCAGATATATAATTTAATGTATTGCTGAACAAAGTGTTTTCTGGCAGGTGGATTAAAAACAAGTTTTGCTTTTACCTGACGTTATTGGTTAGAAAGAGAGGGGAGCAGGAACTAGCGACTTTTCTCTCTATAAGACTGTCCCAGATACTTGTGTCTCAGTTATGACCTGGAACCAGGGCCCGGAGAACTGTAGGGTATGACGATGCCCTTTGACCTGCAGTGGGGCTCTGTGGTGATACATCTATTGGAAGCTGAAAATATCATCAGTTAAAGATGTGCTCAGGACCCTGAACCTGTTGAAGAACACAGCCAAGCCTCGCCTACCTTAAACATGCTTAGGGCACTAATGTACCCTACAGTCAGGCAAACTCACCCCAGCAAAGCATCCTTTCTAAGAAGTTGTTGGATATCTCATGTGATCTATTGAAGACCTCAAACCCTAGTGCTGGCAGCATCACACGCCATCGAAGTCTAGTTATTTGCTCCATGGTCACATGGCCAACTGTAGCTGACACGCCCTGCCACTGTTCAGCATCACAAGAGATCATCATCCCACGTTGTCTCTGACCTGGAAAAGATCACAGTTCAAAATGCAAATGCAAAGCCTGGCTTCTCCCAAATGCATGCCGCTTTTGCAGTACCTTCAAGTCAGAACACAGGAAGCTGAGTCACCACAATGGGGCCACCTGTCAACTCTCAGGTGGGTCATATGACCACTCAAGACTATGAGGCTGACACAACTTATGGACAACACACTGCGGGGGTTCTTGGAAAGAAGGTAGAAATGTGGGAAGGCAGTAGATGGTTTTGACAGTGTAGTTTGAGCGCACAAAGAGGCCACTTAGCATCACAAACTTCTCTTCCAGGAAGGCTTGCTGGTGACTCCAGTTCCTCTGTGGCACTTGGCTGTAAGCACAAAACTAGAAGAGAATATGGTCCATTACTGCTACCAATTTCTTCACTCACTGGGTGTAATCTGTGAGGGAGATTAGAGATCTGTTGGTATGAGTCTGTCATTTTCCAGATGGGGAAATTTAAACTCAGAGGGAGGGAGGCATTTTCCCAAGTGGATGCATTTGGTGGCAGGGTTGCCCCGCCCAAGCTACCTGAGGTGGGTGGTGGACTGACACCAGTAAGATGTGAAGAAACCAGGAAAAGGGAAGCTGTGCTTTAGAGGGCTGTATGGATTTAGTTTATTTATGCCTCACCTTTTCCAGTGGGTACTAGAAGTCACTGGTAGGTTGGACTATGGGGGTGGCTCCTCCTTGAATGTCTGGCTCCTCCCTTCTCGCTGGCCAGCCTTGCTCAGTGGTGGGGACAGCCACGTGTGTTTAGGGATCTGCGGTTAACAGCTACATGTATGTAAAACACAGATAGAACTAAGACCTCCCACCCTGAGAGCCCATCCATTCTGCCCATCTCTTCCTGCCCTGACCTGGGAGGAGATGAAAATGTCCTGAAGACATACGAAGGGGTCTTCATAAATGATATCTTGCCATCACTGGAAGGAAAAATTAATTATACAAATAGAGTGTCTTTAAATGCTAGCATGTTTTCCTTAGCCTTTAGACTATGGTATCAAATGTCCACATGATTTTGCATCAACATATATAGCTTGTTCATTTGGTTTTCTTAGTATAGTACCATGCAAACATTCCTATGTTAGTTGGGTCTGAAGTTCAACTCCAGCATTAACTGGCTGCAAGAGCCCGGACAGTTTAATAGCTCTGGGCTCAGTTTCCTTGTCTGTAAAATGGAATCATGAAAACAACCATGGGGACTGTGGAGGGATGACTATAAATACCACTCAGCTCAGAAGCCAGCAACTAGAAGCCCTCAGTGCCTGTTAGTGACAATTATTATTTCATTTTATTATAGAAACACTTCATGGTTCCAATACTTCATGTTTTTTAATATATTATCCCTAATACATGAGTGTTCCAACCCTTTCAGATGCTCTTCCTGCTGAGCAATTTTGAAAACTATTGTTCTAAAAATGTCCCACATCACGCTCCCTGCCATCACCACCCGCACTTTTCTTATTATCGTCTGAGCAATTATTCCATATTTTGACTTAACCCGTGTCTTATGTAACTCACCCCACTCTGAATAAATCCGTCTGCCGAAACTGTCATCTTCTCACGCACACGTGACATACCATCCAGTCAACCTAAGGACAATCCCTGGTCCGCATTTGGATGTTTGGACCTCTAGAATGCTCATCCACGTTACCTGCCTCACGGTTCACTGTCCCTTCCCTGCCCCCGGGGTCCTCACAGGCTCCTTCATCCATTCACACACGTGATTCAAAAGTCTATTTCTGTCTCCCTGCAGTCCATATGAATTTCTTGTAGAAACTTCTCTTGAAGTCGAACTTCAAATCTCATGTGTAAATGGGTGACATCCGGGAAATATGTGTATGTAATACTTTGTGTGTGTGTGTGTGTGTGTGTGTGTGTGTGTGTGTGTGTGCGTGCGCGCGTGCATATAGACGGGGTCCCTATGCCCCATGCAAAATTGCTCTCACAAACACTTGGAGAAGGATGCACAGAGGTCGGATGTTTCAAAGTCTTTATCCACACCCACCACTAGGCTTCAGTTTTTCCTCCTCAGAAAGGGGGGGCTGAGCTTATTGTCAGAAAAAAAGGGTGACTACCCCTCTTTACTTCCAGATTTGAATTGGTGGGATCAGATCCTTAACCAACTTCTGTCCTGAATCATCTCTTGCTCTTGTTTAAAAATTTCCACAATGGAGACTTATAAAACACAGTGTGTTGTGGTATTAAATGTCAACCTCTGTTTGACCAGCCTTTATGTTCCCACACCCAGATGACCTCTGACCTGGGACCCACAGTTCTCCTTCAGAACAGCTTTCAGGATCCTTGACTCATTACTTACCCAGGATCCTGTCTCCTCTCGTGTGTGGGAAGATTCATACTTGCTCTATCACCCTGGAATTTCTTCTAGATCATTTGCTGGTGGCAAATTTTTGCCCACTGAGGGTGATCTGGATCTGTGGAAACAGTAAAAAGCCTGGTGGCTAAGTTTGGAGACCAAGGCGATGGAGGGCATATGATGAGGGCCCAAGGTGAAGCCTGTCTGTAGAGGAGAGGAACCGAGGGCCTTGGCTGCATGGCTCTGGAGGTATCTCTTGAGGCACTGCACAAGAGGATGTATCTGAGGATTTGTGAACAAGCGATGAGCTCCTTGCTGGCTCCCTGGTGCCAAGAGTTAGGGAGAGTAAAGGTCAAAGAAGATCAGTGGGGTCCTGTTCAAGTCTCTTCCACTGGCAAGAGGCTGCGAGCCCAGGTCTCCGTTGGGAGATGTTTTAGGGTCACTTTCAATACCAAGAGGAAGATGCCTCCAATAGTGTGTGGTGTTCAGTAATGCTCGTAGGTGTCTGTTCCTCCATGTCCTCTTCTCTTTCCCCACCTTACCACAGGGCTACTGTGTGGTCATGTCATTTCAGGAATGAATACCTACAACTTTTGTTTTGTAAAAATTCCACCCACAAAATTATGCATGGTGCCCTGCATGCTGGGTCTCCTCAAGGCTGGGCCACATACATGAGCCACTCACTACCACCTGAAATCATTTCAGCAGCTCCAGAGAGCATAGTTCTCCTGAAAGTCCCCGCCTCCCACCCCTGTCCCTGTCCCTCAGGCCCCCAGCTCTGTCTGCCCTAGCTGAAAGAGAGTAGGGTGGGATTCATGAGTAATTAAAGGAGTTTGGAAGGCTGGGGTGTTGCGGAATGTTAGATCAGTAGCTAGAACAGCATGTGGTGTTCTTTAGGCAGGCTTCATTGAATCCACACAAACGAAGGAAGAGGGCCTGCCTGCCCGTCTGCTCATTTATCAAACGGCGAAGCTCACCCTTCACAGCCCCACAAAAGTGTTTTACTGTTTGCTGAGTCTTGCTGCAGAAATTAAAAGCTGAACAGCCCTCATGGGGCTGAACCGACCCTGCGCTCTTGGATCCTCCCAACGAAATTGTGCTGCGCTTTCAGATTCAGGGCAGTCGATGATTTGGTGAAAGGAGAGAGACTCATTTGTAATTTGCAGCCCATAAGAAACACTTAAAGAAAGAAGAAAGAAAGAAAGAAAGAAAGAAAGAAAGAAAGAAAGAAAGAAAGAAAGAAAGAAAGAAAGAAAGAAAGAAAGAGAGAAGAAAGAAAGAAAGAAAGGAAAGGAGAGAAAGAGAGAAAGAGAAAGCCAGACCTCCTTCCCACAGGACTGTATTTCGGCTGCAGGGAGGAGCTACCATCTGCAACTGCCTTTCTTTGCTCAGAGTGGAAAAGTCTTGAACTGCACTGGGCCAGGCAAGATGGGATGCATTACAGCCTGCCTCCTCCCATCCCCCACACCCCACTCTGAACAAACTCGCCCCTCTTACTTCCTGGAAAAGACTTTCTTTGTTGTTTGCTTGCTTGAGCTTGAGGAGGAGAAGATTAAGCTACTAAACACCAAATACTCTCATCACACTCATGTATTGCTCGGGAAAGCGACGTGTGCCCTACATAAGCTTGACCGCTAGACTGAATGGGGATCCTCTGGCGACCCAGAAAAGGATGGAAGCAGGAGGACAGTGCTAGAGGGAGGGGCCCCAGAGTGGAGCGTTCCATCTGGTCACTTCTCCTCTTCCCTCCAGTCCCAGACCCTCAGAAGCTGGTCCCTGTGCGCTATCTCTTGTCCCGCATCCTTGTCCTACTTCGGTCTGATGAAGTCCGAGGAGACAAGTCCAGGTGCCCACAGTGACCCCTGGTCCCCACTCTGCCCTTTGCTCGGCTAAGCTCCAGTCCATGGGGTAAATGGCAGCCCTTCTACAGGTGAGACTTGATGCTCGTGGAGGAGCAGAATACTCTTCCCAGTCTTTGACTCTAACCCACTTTAGCAATGTGTAAATGCCCTGCTATACCTCGGAGACAGCATCCGGAGGGACTGGGGAAGAGGATCAGTGGGCAGAGCACCTGCTGTGCAAACACAAGGACCTGAGTTCAGATCCCCGGCACTCCTATAAACCCCTGGCACGGCTGGACACAGGGCAGGGGACCAGGGTGACGGCGACAGGATGCTAGCTTGCGGGCCACCAGCCCAGCTCTAGAAATCAGAGAGACCCTGTCTCATAGAAACAAGGCAAGGAGAGATTGAGCAGGACGTTAGACATTCTCCTTCTGTCTTCATACACATCCACATACATGTGTACATGCCACACACGTGATCACACACACATACACACAAGTCACACACGTGTAGGCACACATCACATACACATATCCACATACACCACACATACACACATACACATGTGTTTGCACACATCACACACACACATATCCATATACACCACATATACACATACACACACATACACACACACACAAAGATAGTATTTGAGTTAACCTTATGCACATTGGCTTATTTTCATTGTTAATTAAGCAGCTTTACATCTGAGAAATTATCAAAAATAATAAAATACCAACAGTGAACATAAGACATCATTATCACAAAGATATTACAGTCCCCTCTTAACACACCAGGAACATCTTTAATGGCTGATAAAAGAAGAATCACTCATTTATGCTTCCAGTTTCTGGGTCTCATCATCGCCAATGGTCAGCTGCAGCACCCTGCTGGCTGGTCTCCCTGCTGCTGCCCTGGTCCCTACAGCCAGTGACACACTTCCTCCAACAAGGCCACACCTCCTTATCCTTCTAATCCTTCAAAGAGCGCCTCTACCTAGAGAGTAAGCATTCAAATATATGAGCCTATGGGGGTCATTCTCATTCAAACCACCACCACCACCACATTACACAACATAAACACATTTTAATTGGCCAGTTTAAAAGGAATCATGTAATTGTAGTCACCAATTAAGTGGCTTAGGAGGATTTCTGAGAGGAAATAAGGTCAAAGCTGAGATTTGAAGGGTACATGAATATCAAGCCAGACAAAAGGCACGGAGGAAGTGCTGGACCATGAGAGCAACTATGGAAAAATCCAGAGCGAGAGAGCAGTGACTCTGTGAAACTTGGAATCAGTTCCCCATGGCCAGAGTGCAGGGTCAGCAGAGGTGAGCTGGGAGGAAGGCAGGACCCATCTGGAAGAACCTGGTAGGACTGGACTTTGTCCAGGGGCACCATGGGAAAGTGGTCATGGTGGAGTGTGGCTGGAAGCAGGGCAGTGAGGGAGAATTGCAGGTGTGGTCCTAGGCAGATGGAGATGGGCAGATGTGGACAGAATCTTGATCTAGATGAAATGGAAGGAAGGTGGAGACAGACGCACTTGGGGCTTGGAGACAGAAGACTCTCTCCCCATCAGAGAACTGGGAAGAACTCACAGGGGAGTGGTATCTGTTCTGAGAAGACGCTCAAGAAGGCCACAGGCAGAGTGCATGGTGGAGGCAACCTGAGACGCCCTGGAGAACGCCACTCTGAACAGTCTAAAGTAGATGGAACTGGGGTTCACATGAGGAAATTTAGAGAGTGGAATTGGAGCTTCTTGTGAAAGAGCTTCTGCTGAGTCAATAGCTCTGGAGGAATGTCAGAGGGCTCCACTGGAGAGCAAGGGTGTGTGTGCGTGCGTGCGTGTGTGTGTGTGTGTGTGTGTGTGTGTGTGTGTGTGTGTGTGTATGACAGAGAGAGAGAGAGAGAGACTAAGCCACTTCTCCACCAGAATGACTTCTGTTGATTCTGTTAATGACTTCTGTATTTTTGTTAAACAGAAGCATTTAATCATCAGATTTTCTGCATGTGAATGGGTTCTGAGTTATTAGGCAGTCCACTGGCATCACCATCCCCTTGGCTTTTTCCCACTCTGTAACCTCTTAGGGTGGGGAAAGATGGATCTCATTCACAGCAGAGGCCACAAGAGCTTTTCCAAGAGGGTCAGAGTGAGGCGAGCAGAGAGAGGAGAAGTTTTTACTGGAGAGGGGGTGGGGACAAGAAATTATTCATTCCTCAGACATAACCAGGGGAATGAGAGGAAGCAACAGAAAGAGGCGAAAGTTGGTGTCAAAGGAAGACCTGCCAGCCGGGGATGTTTGCGTTCGTGAGGAAGGAGGATTGTTGTGCTAGGTGTTGAATCCAGAGTGCCCAGGTCTGAGGTCTGCGTCTTGTGAGCTGATGGACTTGTGAGGATGGCTCAGCCCCCGGAGTTTCAGCTTGTTCGTCTGTGTGGGGGGACAGCCCAGTGCGGGCATTGTGCTGCCTGCGGAGACGGTGTGTGCAGAGTGGCTAACGGGACCCAGGCTCCTGAGGACCCTGTGCCACCACGCCCCGTGGTTGAGGACCACGCCCCGTGGCTTAGGACCACGCCCCGTGGTTTAGGACCACGCCCCGTGGCTTAGGACCACGCCCCGTGGTTTAGGACCACGCCCCGTGGCTTAGGACCACGCCCCGTGGTTTAGTCCGGTGCGCCACTCAGTTCAGCAGGGAGCGGGTAGGGCACTCAGCACTTCATGAGAAGGTGTAGCCATCACTTTTTCATTGCGACTGGAGCAGCCTAAAGGAGGGAAGATGTTGTGTTTGAACTTTTGGGTCCTACGCTTAGCTCTGTTTGGAGAGGGCTGTGGGGCCTTCGGGAGATGGAGCCTCACTGGAGGAAGTGGGTCACTAAGGGAAACTCTTGAGGTTTTGTTGCCTGACCCCACTTCCGGTTCACTCTCTTCCTGAGCACTGGAGCCATAGACTAGCTTCCAGCTCCCGCCATACCTTTCTCTCCATGATGTACTGTATCCCCTCAAACTAGAAGCCAAATAAACCCTACCCTACTTACATTGTTTCTTGTCATGCATTTTGGTCGCAGAAAGGAGAGAAGTAACTATAAGATAAAATGTGTAGGGTGGAAAGATTATAAGAGCCAGAATGGCAGGAAGCCTTCTGTGAGGCCACCTCTCCTAAAATGACCGCATAAACAGCACCTGAGCAATGGCCATCAGGAGGGGAGAGTCACGGGTCCCACCCCTACAAGAACTGCAGGCTAATGACTGCTGAGGGAGGGAGGATTAGCCTTTCCCAGGCATGAGCCCCCATTGGTCATCCAATACAAACCATATACATACAAAAACCAAAGACGAATTCAGCAGGCAATATTGATCTATTTGTGCATGTGTTTATATCTCTGTCTGTCTAGATATTTGTGCATATGTTTATATCTGTCTGTCTGTGATGACAAAGAAAAGGAGGATATCAGTTTGAAACCTGGGGGAGGGGCATGGGGGTTGGAAGGAATGGACGGCGAAGAAGGTACCTAGCGTTTCCAGTGACGGAATGGGTCACATTTGCCGTTTAGATGGCTCCTGTGGAGGAGGCTGGACTGGTGAAGGGCATCCTGTTGGGAGGATGTGTCTGTGGTTCAGGTGAGAGATCACATGGCTGGAGCAGAGACGGAAGGGGCGTTGAGACGCAGCTGGTCCACAGGGGAGGATCACTGAGACGACGGGGTTGGGGGACAGTGAGGACTCCATGCTGTCTTGGGAAAATGCGCAGGTGACAAGGGGTCACAAAGATGATGAAGGCGCCATCCCAATACGCAAGATATTCCCGGGGGGAAGGTCAAGCGACTCGCAAAGGAGGGAATCTTAGGTCAAACTGGTCAGTGAATTCCCAAGCTTGTGTCATGACCAGGCAAAGAATGACAAGGACTTGGACTGTCACTCGTATTGACTCATGGAGGGAGAACCAATGACTGGGAAGCCTGTCCCCATGTCCCGGTGGCCTGTGGCTTGTCTGTAGACAAACCTGAGGTCCTGTTTTCCAGCCAAAGGTTTGCCAGTCTGCTCTGTGGATGTTGTGTGGGATACCATGGGCACAAACAGAACAGGGCTTCAGAACCCAGCCAGCCTCCTCAATCAAGTAATAATGAGGCTTAGCAACCAAACCAAACGCTGATTTCTCTTTTGGAGATGATTTACAGGGAGCAGAGAGTGGTTTACATTTTAAAGAGAGAGAAAACCCTGGGCTGTGACATTCTGGTCGATTTGGAATGCATCTTGTGAGATTATCCTCAACTTTGTCAATCAGGACTACTTCCAACAAGAAAATTCTTCTCTTTCTGTATAAACAGTGTAAGACAGCAGGGATCACGGAAGCTGTTTTTGTCCTAACCACAGCCCAAGCGCCCCAGAGAATTCAGTTTAGTTCTCCACATAATCTGCTCATTCTTGTGTCTTTACAAGCAAAAATTATAGCTAGAATTTAACGTGTGAGTCTGCCTGGTACCACATCAAAGCAGCTTTGATATGACGTGGTAAGAGGTTTGGGGACCATCCTTTATGGCAATGTGAATACTATTGAATGTATAGATAGCATATACTTAGCCAGCTCCCTGCTATGAGGCATTCATGATGTTTCTCATTTTTCTCTTATTAAAAGACCCACACATTACTTTAGGAGGCTTTCTTAGAATTAATAGATCAGAAAGTTTGAGTATTTTGTGGCTCCTGACATATATTGTAAAACTGCTTCAGAGGAAAAAGAAAAAAAAAAAACCTGCTTTGGAGGAACATTTGTACTAATAGGATCCCTGACAATCTGAAGATGCTGAGTTGTACTATAGATTGAAAAATATTTTATTATGCTTGTTTAGTGTGTATGCACATAAGCATATACATGCTCATATATACATGTATACACATATATACATGCCTTAGCACACATGTGGAGGCCAGAGGGCAACTTGCTCCTTCCACTGCGTGGGCCTGGGGATGGGAGCTGAAGGTCATCAGGCTGATGGCAAGTGTGTTTATTTACTTACTCAGAGAACCGTCTTGCTGGCATTTCACTACAGTCTTAACTGCACCAAGTGTTGTCTTTTCCTAGCATCTGCTAATGTTAGAGGACTCAACAGAGCATCACTGCTGTACCCAATTGCACAGGAGAAATTTCCCGAGGCTAAACACAAGAGAGGCCCTGCTTTTCCTGAGAAATGAGTGTATCCTGGTGGATGCTGGGACTTCTGTATCACTATGGTTATCTTGTTTTCTTGGGTGATTAGGAAACTCAGAACCCAAATCATGACCTTCTTTCAACCAGCATAAACTCTTGACTCAATATTAAGGTTTCGTTCTTCTGTCTGTCCTGGCCAGCACTCGTGTTCATACTTAACCATTGTTAACATCTGCTTTGGATCCTTACTCCATAGCTGGTCACATGATGAGCCTCTGGAGGGCCCGGTCATGGGCTGACACAAATGTGAGGCTGTTAGGCCATTAAACCTTCTCGTAGGCTTAGGCTGCGTACCAGGAGAAGGGATTTCAGGAGCAGTACCAGTGACCCAGGCTCCGACACAGCATTTCACACAGGACATGACATCCCAGGGCACACAGATGACTGGCTACCGAAGTGGCACCTTACGTAGTTCAGAGAATGATGGGATCATTTTAGTTACCACTGTTTCTTATGTGTGTTTATGTGCATGAGTGTGGGAGACAGAGATCCACGTCAAGTGGCATCTCCACCGCGCTCCACCTCACCTTTTGAGGTAGGGTCTTTCACTGGGATCTAGCGCTCTCTAGTTAGGCTAGATTGGCTGGCTAGCAAGCCCCCCCCCCCCAGTCCTTCTATCTCCATGTCCCTAACCCTGGGATTATAGGCCCTTGAGTGCCACCATGCACAGCATTTTACATGAGCATTTCAGATCTGAACTCAGGTCCTCATATGCATAGTATGCACTTTACCCAGTAAGCCATGCCCACGAGCCCACGAAATCACGTTTATAAAGTCTTGTTTCCCTCCCCAAGTGGTTTTATGATGTTCTCGAACTGGGTTCTCTGAGCATCGTGTGCGCTGTCTCCTCTCTCCCCCACCTTGAGATGAGGCAAGGCTGCCTGTGTATTCTCCACCCTCAAGGTCCTCAGTTCCTTAATGTGCCAAAGTGGGCAATCCTCATGCTACCCCTCTAAGATCTAATCTCACTCTCTCTTCACTTCTTTCTGTCCCACTGAACTGATCCTAGTTGAGGTGACATCACCACCAATTGTCCCTCCAGTTACGGGCAGACTACACAACTCCCTGAGTCCTTAGATATCACAGAAGGAAACCAAGGCACAGAGAGATGGAGTAGGTCAAGTCCCAGCAGCTCACAGGTTCACAGTGTCTGCTTATTGCACGGATGAGTTAAGTCGGTGAGAGCCCTGGTGTGCGTGAAAACAAATGCTAGGGGATGAAGAGGGAAAGCCTTGAGGTTGCACCCCACTGTGGGGAGCAGGCTCAGCCCCGGATGCTCTCAGGTGAGACCAAGTACAAAGACGTGAAGCTGCCCCTGATACTGGACACAGCTTGGTCCCAGGAGGCCTCTGAGCAGAGGGATCTTGCTCAGAAGCCCAAATGTTGTCTTCAGAGATGGAAGCCTGTAAAATGTGGGTGACCTTGCATTCTCGTAGGGAAATGTGGGGAGGAAAGGGGCCAACTCGTACTGATGAAAGAGGGATGCTTCAAAGGGTTAGTTGCAGAGCCGACGGTGGGTGTGGCTCCAGGTATGACGGCAGGCAGAGCGGGATTGGTGTACTTTAGACCAGCCTTGGCTCTCTTCTGCTGTAACTACAAGCACCACAGCCCAGTGATGTCCCCTCAGGATCTGAGCCCCACAACCATCAAAACACTGTCCCCCTGCCCACCCACCCCCGCCCCCTCACACACAGCAGGAGTCTTCTCTAGGGTGTCCAAGACTCCTAGCAAGCCAGTGCACCCGGGCCTGTTTGCCTCCTTCGGTCACAGCACCTCCACCACCCTTTTCCTATGGGGTAACTGGCTCTTGTGTTGCTGTACAGACAGGGCCTGTTTCCTCCCCTCATGCCCCCCATCCCTCCACCCCACCCCGCTCCCACACATTTTCTGACAACTGGCTCTCGCGTTGTCTTACAGATCATAAGGCAGCAGTTCCCCCAGCTGACCACCAGAAGACTCGGGACCCGAGGACAGTCAAAGTAAGCACCAAGCCGCCTCCGCTCTCACAGCACTCACGGCCCTCACAGCTCTCACCTCTGGGCCTGGGGGGGACATGGAGGAGCTCCGTGACAGCCGGGCTCTCTCTCACCTCTGAGGGGGACATGGAGGAGCTCCGTGACAGCCGGGCTCTCTCTCACCTCTGAGGGGGACCTGGAGGAGCTCCGTGACAGCCGGGCTCTCTCTCACCTCTGGGCCTGGGGGGGGACATGGAGGAGCTCCGTGACAGCCGGGCTCTCTCTCGGGACCCTCCGGAGAGAGCGGCTGGCCATCAGAAGGCCTGGGACCTTTGGCCCAGTTGCTGGTTGCCGTGTGACCTGTGCCACGCTGTCCTCAAGCGTTCTTTGTAAAGCAATCTATGCATATTTTCCAGGAGTCCCAGGACTTAGACCATCTCCAGGTTGAGTAACCTCTGCTCTGATAGAATGCAGTAGGCCACAGACACAAGCCATCTCCAACAAAGTGGGGGAGAGGCAGGAGGTTCCTCCCCCACCTTAGGGTTTTCAACCAGCCTGCCAACATTTGTTTCACTTTTCTTGTCTGAGACAGGTTCCTCCTCTGTAAACTTGACTTGCCTGGGCCTCTCAAATACTGAGATTATAGGTCTCATCCTGCCTGGCTTGCCAGGAACATTCTGATGTGTAAGACAGACATGAAAAGACTTCAGGTCGCAGGAGAGAATAGGAAGGGGGTGGGTTTGGCGAGGTCTCCTGGAGGTACTGACACTTAAGAGCAGAGCAAGTAAGGACCACAAGGACACCTGTCTCCCAGGTGTGCACCAGAAAGGGGCCCAGCTGTCCGACTCCATCAGAGATAACAGGATTTACCTCTCAGTATATTTTGGGCCAGGCAGTGTCCCTTGGGAGAGGGAGGTGGCCACAGAAGTTTGGCCAG